TTTTTCCGGCTGCGGTTGATGAAACCGGTGCTTTCGGGTGCAATTTTACCATCTGGGCCCTGATCGCAAGGCCCGGAACACCGTTGCCGCCGGCGCAAGCGTCATGGCGGTAGCTGGGAAACCGCAGCGCCGCCGCGTTGGGCGGCGGCAGGTCTTCCCCCGCGCAGCTCGGGGAACGTGCGCGACTCGGGCGACGGCTGCATGCCAGGATGGGGGCTGCGCAGGCTCGATGCTTGGGATCTCTTCTCTCGGAGCGCCGGAGGCCCCAGCGGAAGGCCGACAGGCCGCTGCTCCTGTGACCGCGAGCCTGTGCGCGGCCGGAACCCCTGCTGCGGCTGCAGCTGCGGCTGCGGTTGTGACTGTGGCTGGCCAGATGCGGCGGCGTGGCCGCTCGAAGGACTGGCGATGGCGCCCTGGGCGACGATGGGCGTAGAGAGTGCCAGGGGGAAGGGCTCGGCGTTTGTGATGCCGGGACCTTCCGTGCGAATCTGCGGCAGGCTTTTTGTGCTGTGTAGGTCACGCCCGCCGATGGCCTTGCGCTGAATAGACGGCTTGGCCTGCGGCTTGGGACCTGCCTGTTGCTCTTCGGAGGGCGGGTGTGGTGATGGCGCCGGCGAGAGGGGCGAGACGATGCCATCAACAAGTGGGGTCCGAATGTCCTGCATCTGGTATTCGGGCGTGGGCAGGCGTGGCACCTGATCAAGAGCCGAGTCGCTCATCGACACCAGGCCACCATGTCCCTGCTGTTGACTGCCCACACTTCGCTGATCACGCGGGTTCAGGTGCGAAAGTTTGATCTTCAGCTTTGATGCTTCGTTGCCCATGTCGTCGCTGTTGGGTGTGACATTGGTCTTGTCACCGTGTGAGTAAGCGTGTTCAGTGCCTGTCACTGAGTATGCGTGTTCAGTGCCTGCCACGGGTGCGGGTGCAGGTGCAGGTGCAGAGGCGTGTGAATGCGAGTTTGCGTGCGAGACGTGTGACAATGGATTCGTCGCCGGGCCTTTGTTGGGGACTTCTGGAGCGTAAGATGTGTGTGAAGGAAACTGAGAGGCAGCGGTCGATCCATGACTGTTGGTTAATTTGAGCTCGGGCATCTGTATGTCACGATCTGACTTTCCAGAGCGTCGGCGCCAGAGCTGGTCTCTTTGTGGGGACGAGGCCATGATGGTCGTCGGGCCGTCAGCAGTCGGCGCCCGCACAGAGTCTTTTCGGGGCGGGAATGGCTTGCGACCCTCATCGACGACGATGGTTGTGAGGGTAGG